TTGCTATTCAAGCTTTCCACATAGACGCATTTTGGGCTCGTCGCGCATTCCTTTCCCACATGGGAAAGGAAAGATTGCATGACAAGCCCAGGTAAAGTTTGTGATATTCCGGTCGTCAAGCAGTGCTTCTCCCCATCAGGTGGAAGATAGCTGTTATGGGTGGCGGGTGGCAGTTGTGTAGTTAACTCTAGCTGGTGGTCAGAGTGTAAAGCTCCCCATCAGGTGGCATTAATTTAAAAACGAAAAGAGATTGACTGGTTTTCTTTTAATGGTATAATAATGCCTGTATGGATCTTAGTTCAAGTCTACCAAGGATTCGCGAATTTAACCGGAAACGTACGAGGATCCTTCGTCCGAATCCCATTAAATGGTATTGGATTTCATAGAGCAATCATAAGAAATGGAAATTAACGCCTACGTTTGCAGCCCAAGCAGTCGAGAGGATCGTACTTTTTTGTTTTGTTTTGTTTTGTTTTGTTTTGTTTTTTTGTGGATTTGATTCGTGGTGAAAAGCTCTCGTTCATGAAACAAAACAGGTTTCTTAGAATTTCGATGTATGGTATTAGACGTCATATGTTCTTGGTAGCTTTTAACACCATATAAAGAAAACTGCAATTTGATCAGAAGAGATGTCATACTTGTCTAGTAGTATTTTACTGTAAAATAAACCCAAGATCCTAGCTCCACCGTTAAGTATTCTCTGCATCTGTTGTCAAAGAGAAAAGCTTTGTCCGGGGATAAAATTTTGCAGGGTATTTATTGGCTTTGTATTTTTTTTGCTTTTTTTAAGTTTTTTTTTTTAATAAGGAAAGATATGTTCAATATCTGTCTTACTACACGTTTAGAATCTGTCATTTGGAATGAATACAAGCATCTGTTTTGGGACAGGAAACCCCATTGTTCAGAAAGACCCATTTGGTAGAGTAAACAAAAGGCTTAAGACATAACACCCTCATCTCTAAAGATGATCTATATCTCAACGTGCTTATTATTCCAATGTTAAAATAACTTTTTCTTCGGTTAGCCCAGTTCTGACCAACAATAACAGATTTCTTATCAAAAGCGAGTGCGAATTAATCAAGACCCTTTGACAGTCAAAATAAAACAGAAGCCCTCCTCCAACAGCCTATCAAATTTAAATAACAATTTCCCAGTTTTGGAACAGGTGATATAAAAGGTGTACATTAAATACTGATGATATTCTAAACGTCAATTCAAGTTTCGAATGTAATAGCAAGTTACTCGCATGAAGACAAATTTCTGACACTCTCTGCAATTTGACGTAGAGAACTTGATGTATTTTCTTTGCCTAGCGTAAACTGATTCAGTCTAAATGTCAGAGTAAACAAAGGTGCCTTATTACCACTACCCTGTCAATCAATCTACAATCTTATGTTTTTTCAGACTTCTGTTATCGTTTAAAATCTTTCTTTTCAATCGAGCACATCATGAGCAGAATTTATGCTTTGAAAACAAGGTACAAAGGGTAGAAATAATAGGCGACAAGACAATCAAATACAGGGTTTGAAAGATCATATCAGAAACAAGTGGAACCAGCCATTAATTCAACATATGGCCTTGTGAAAGACCTTCTGTTGATTGTTTTGGATGCTATTCACGAATTTATTGCCAAGAAAAATATATATCCATTTAAAATCTGCCCACTTATTTAACGAAAGCAACTTTACGTCAAACTCATAATTTTCTGGGTGATGTTGTGTAAGTGTAAATGATAAATTATTAATATTCATGGTGATAAGCACTTTATATGTCTTTGGAGCAAGCAATGAGTTCAGGTTAACGAAAACTCTATGACGTAAGACCATCAACACTTTTTCCTCTCTCTAAATTCAATGGCATCGAATACCTCAGAAGTCCACAACCACAGTTATTCCACCGGTCAAGATATCGCCTTTGCAGTGATGTATTCGTTTATTGTCATCATCGGTGTACCCGCTAACAGTATTGTCATCACTATCGTCCGAAAAACACCTTCAATGCACACAACAACCAACTATCTCCTTATGAACTTGGCTGTGGCGGATCTAATCACTTTAATGATTTGTCCGGGAATGTACGACTTCGCTCTAAAAAAAGTGCGGCTCGACAAAACTTTGGGAGATTTCATCTGCAAATTTTTCGCGGGTAATGCAGTTGTTCCAATCACAATTAACGCGGCCGCCTTGACCGTTAGCGCCATTGCCGTGGAAAGGTACCTCGCGCTGGTCAAGCCGTTTTACACCAGGCTAAGATTAACCAAGAAACGGGTTCCTCGTGTTGTCGCTTTCATATGGACATTTGCTGTGTTATCCTGTATTCCTGACTTGGTAACGAACACGACAGAGCCTAACCATCATTCAACTTATCCGTGTAAACGTCCTTGGAGTTTAGACGAATATTTCCGTCACAAAGGTTTCCTTATCTTCACTGGCGTTTTCTTTGGGCTCATTCCAAGTTGCATCATTTTCTTCTGTTATTTTGGCATTTTTCGGGGATTGTTTATCACTGAGACAATTTGCACGGCCCCAAAAGGACCAGAACGTTCAAGCAACGCGGCATTGGAAGACCAGCGCTCAAAGAAACAGCTTTTTAAGCTTTTGTTGTGGCTTATGATACTGTTTTGCACTTGTACTTTGCCGTTTTCAATATTTTTCATTTGCTTAACTACTTTAAAAACAAACACTGTTGTTAATAATCGCCAATATCTGTTTGTTGTTCATAGAATGGTTAGGTTTCTTCTCACTGCCAACTCGTTTTTTAATCCACTCGTGTATGCATTTCAAAGTGCTAATTATCGAGAAGGATTCAAAAGAATCTTTTATTGCAAGAGGTTGACAGAAGAGAACAAATAAACGATCATGGACAGCCAATTTGTAATCATAGAAACAAAACATAACTCTTAAAAAAAAAGGTTGATTCGTATCGCATACGTTTCGTACATGCAGTTGTAGTTAAAAGTGTCGAGAAACTTCGCAAATATTTGTGAAGCTTATTTAGATAGCGGAACGAAAATCCTGCTGTTTAGCTCAAATCGTTTGTGATAAAGGTTAGATGCAAAGTACTGTAAGTTGTGCTGGAAAATTATACTTCGCAATGAAAAGTTTATAATCTTGTGTCAATTAAGATCGATGGAGCTTTTGATAACACAAAAGGCTTAGAGAATCTAGTGTCACACTAAAGCAAACGGTGACTGCATTTTTTTTCCGCCTTCAACCAGCCCCTCAAAAAAATTCTTTGACGCCACTTTATTCTATTTCTCACTTCATAAACCTTTTCCTTCTCTTTGAAAAAAAAAATACGTGTTCAAAGAATACGTGGACGCAAGCAATCCCATTTTAAAAGAAGTCTCAGTTTATCGCAAGTAACAAATACCTGGTTTTCTAGTTACTCCATTAAACCGGCGCAACAGTTTTATTTTGATTGGATAATATTTCTGGAAAACAGCCTTTCTAACGGGGGTGCGAGCAAGGGACAAAAGATTCCATAACATTTATTCTTGTGTGTGGATGTAGTATGCCTTCCAAACACGACGGTTAGCCTGAATACAGCCATTCACCGCTACTTTCGTGTCCACAGTTTTGATCACTTGACATGAAGTAAAAACACATGAGATTGCCAGGCAACAGGACATTAGGACCCGGCCGAATAGCCGGCCTGTTTCTTGTCAGGAAATTGCGGGTGGGGCCACAGTATTTCGTCTAAGAAAGATGAGACTTAATGATCTGAAGAAAGAAACAAGTACAGAATACAGTCAAACCTCGGCCACCTTAGGGACAGATGAAAATGGCCGTTAAAAAGAGGTGGCCGTTATGGGGAGGTAGGGGTGTAATATGACACCTGTATTTTTGGATGGTACAACATTTTTATATTTAAAAAAGGCTGTCTGTAGCATAGAAATGCCTAACACAATCAAAATGGATCAATAAAACACAAACCAAACAGAAACAGAGACCAACGACGCACGGCACGTATCAAGTTTCGTGACCTTTTACAATATACACGGGGTTTTGTACACTCCTCATTTGTCAGTCGTTGATTACTGGCCGTTGTTGAGAGGTTATTCTGGCAGCTGGGACGCGCTTTAGTGACCGTTGCCATTGTGGGGAGGTGGCCGTTATGGAGTGGTTGAAATAAGAGTTCATGTATAGTCCATCCGCCGGGACGAAAAAAGTGGCCGTTGTAGAGAGGTGGCCGTTAATGGAAGTTCGACTGTATGAAGAAAGCCGCGTTTAACGAAAATAACACTAAAAGATAACTGCTACAAAATCTGTTTCGCAGTTTGAACAGGAGACTCAAATTTTACTCATATGTCAAAGTAAAAAAATTCGTATACTAGGCTGTCAAGGAAGCAAGGTAAATGATATAGATTCAGCTCTTAAGCTATGCTTTTGTTCGGGGCAAAATAAAGTGGCCGTATTAACTCGGTGGCCGTATTAAAGGAGCTCTTTAAATTAGAAATCACTGACTGAACTTTTGGTCGGACCAAAATAAAGTGGCCGTAATAACGAGGTGGCCGTAAGGCGAGGTTCCACTTTGCACATATTTTGCTCAACTCGACAGACTTATTTATATCTTTGCTTTGTTGTGTCTGTTTAGCTTCACCGTAATGACCACTGGCAATGGCCGTGTTTCCTCAGTATCAGTCTCGCAAATGTAAATAATTACATTGAAATTTATCTGCTGCTTAAACTACGTATGGTATATTTCATAGCTGGGGTAAAGAAAAACTTACTTATTGATCTCAAATGATATGATATGAATGTTTTTTTCAATTGTTTTCCAACAGTTTGAAATGTTTAGTAAAAAGAGTCACTGGTATGTCTGGGGTTCAAGTTTCGGTGTTTTCATGTTGGTAACTGATCCATGTCAAACAAGCACTATGTTTGAGAATTAGGCCTGTGTCTTCATATCGTATTTCAAAGGGGTATTTTCGAACAAATTCGTGGAGTGAAGTGGGGCACCGTTAACTCCTTAGGAAGTGCTGTTACTCAAAATGTTTTGGCTGCATGATTTTGTGAAGCTAGTTTTTATTCCATTTGGTCTATTGTTGAATTCATTTGTGAATAATTTGAGTTCAACACAACCCTAACCTTAACCCTAAGTTCAGCATTGAAAACCTTTTCTGTTTAGATGAGAATGCAGTTTTGGTAACCAACGGTTCAAAATAATGAAGAATTTGACAAAAGAACTTGACAAAATTTTAACATGTTGCACTCTGGATCCAGGCGCACCGCGCACTGACGTATCCATACGCCTGTCCTCGGCTGCTATTGAAATCGTAGGAACTCTGAACAGACGCATGCAAAGCTAAAACAAAACAAAGCTGAATGAGATTAGACATTATTACGTGGCTAGTTCTGTGAGCGTGCGATATCGTCCAAACCCCGCACTGTGATTGGCTACCCGAGTGTGCAAGATGGTGCTCGGGACTACCCGCTGTGTACCACAAGAACAATTTCCCCGAAAGCCATATAATAAATTCTTTATCGATCAATCTTGCTCGGTCAAGATGATTGGATATTGGCCTCGTTCTTTTTTGGGAGTTTACGGACCTCGCAAAAAAGATCTTGGCCAATATCCAGCCAGGAAGAGAAAGTCAACATTTAGCTAAACGTTTACATTTAGCTGAATGTGCCACCTGTTATGTTATTCCGTTAAAGACTTCATCCGCTTAGTTTTATTCCTACCATCCGCTCTTAATTTTAGCTGAGTAATTCATCACCTGAGTTGCCTTAGAAACGTTCATGGCGGGAAACATTAGCAAAACCAGTAAAATATTAATAACTCAGTGAATGATTTTAAACATCTTCCTCCCAGTCGGCATTAACATTTGACAGAAGTGTAAAAGCGGCGAGAAACTTCTACCTAAAATTGCTTCCTTTTCCTTTTTTTGGAGATTTACACTTCCTTGTCCAGTCAGCTAAACGTCTATGCAGTTGGGCTCCGCTCGCTTGGTTATTTTGTGTTCCCCGTTATTTCGAGTTTCAAACCATTTCCCTTGGATTTGCCCTTCAGTCATGTACTATCGGCTATTTCGAAATCTCGCTAGTTCGAAATATTTTTCGTTTCCCCTGCGAATTCGAAATAGCGGGATTCAACTGTATATTAAAGATCGATTTGCACTCGTAAATAATCGTATGTCTTAATACAACTGTTGAAAGCAAAAAAAAGGTTTTGTCATGTACACCTGCTGTGCATTTAGCAGGAACAAAAAACCTTGCTAACAAAAGGAACTCAATTAAAATAATTGAAGTCTTCGCAATCGATGAATACTTACTTGCTAAAAAGAAAACCATACTACTGTTTGTTGGACCTTTTCTTGTGCACCGCGCATTGACGTTATCTATGCGTCTTTCCCGTGATATAACAGTAATTAACGAAGGAGCCAAGCAGAGGCTTGTAGAGCTAAATGAGAACATGGATGATTGGGGAACACTGGGGTAGATTAGGATTGACGAAATTGAAACTTCTGTGTTAAACTTTTTTCAACTTCATCCATGATGAAGGTTTGCTTGCATTTCGACTAATTTTCTTGCGTAGAAAGAAGTTGGATGTTTAGTGGTCGAAAGGTGTTCGGCATCATGCAACAACATTGGACAGGACGGTGAAAGAAAAACTGTATCTATTGAACTGGTTCAAAGGAGTTTCCTATATATCTAATTTCAAACTTTGATAGCTTCGACCTCTCAAGCTGTTCAAACCCCTCTGCATTAGTGGTGGATTTTTTTAATCATTTGAAAGCACGAGCTTAAAATGAATGAAGCCGAAATATTGTCTTCTTCTTGCGCACCTCAACAAATCTCTCACCAGTGGAAAGGAACTTAAATGAAAACCAGTGACGTTTATCAGCTTTGTTTATTATTTTGAAATGTTCACTGCCTCTCTAGTGAGCTTAACCTCTATGTATGATTTCTAATCATAAATTATCGTGACCTAACAACAAATGGGGTCCATCTTGTCCACCTGCGCGAAGCTGCAACTAATCATTTTGACAGTAATTCAAGTAAAACAATTGGTATTTGACAATTTTATTGGAAACCGATTCCTCGCTAAAAGCTTTTTAATGAAAAGAAAACTAATTACATTGCTGTATGCGAGACACACATTTGAAGTGAATTGATTCTGCCAGTCTCTTAAACGTTATCTGACTAATTGAGCTTGCTTCTCACGATTTGCTATTCCGGTCTCGTGTAGGAAAAGGTAGATTGTAGGTGGAACTATGTGTAATGTGGGCTTCAGACTCTACTGAATAGGGGCTCTTGCATATTCTAGAATGTTCGTTATAATCGTCAGTGGAACAGTCGACGATCATAGACAATTTTAGTAACACCAATAAATCGATCAATCTTGATTCACTTTTACTAAGAAGAAAAGTAAATTCTTCTGAAAGAATTTCAAAACGATAACCATTTTTGTTTTTCAAAAATCAAGCCGCCATCATGAAACCATATTAGAGCTGCACAAGGTCACAAGAAAGACACGAAGGCGTAATAGAAAGTTAAACGTGCAGTATTAACTTTACAAACTTGGACGTCATAGAATTATGACCATATTTCACAGACCCTTTGTCTTTTGACAAGTTTCCTGATGGTTCATAACATGATAAGAAAACTGTATTGTCAAATGGAACACTACATCATGATCATGAATAATCTTAATTTTTAATTACTAGCATTTACATAAAAATACCTCATCCCATTCAAGCTCCGTAACAGAAGGAAGTTCATTTCAGGAAGAGCACTTTCCAGTTAACTGGTTTACTTTTAACTTACCCAATGGCGTCGAATACCTCAGAGGTCAACCACAGTTAT